AGTTTCTATTTCTTTCCCTTCTCTTAAGATTGCCGATTACTTTTTTCTCTTCGTACTGCAGCAAATATCCAGGTGCATTAGGAGTTGTGTAATCTAACCTATGTGCAATTTTTTACTTGATTTATTAACGTACCTGATACGAACTCTACCGGTGCCACTTCTGCAACTTTCCTTTCCGAAGCCTTTTCGAAGAACAAAAAAGAAAAATGGACATTAGGAGTCAAATATGGCGATGTCACTACTAACAAAAACAACTGTATTTTCTCGATTAAATGTCTCTCTCAACGTCGCATTCAACCAGAATAATGCGGCATTAAAAAAGGATATAAGGAAGGAAAAATAATAAAATCGACAACAAAAATAACGATCACGCACCACAAAATTCTCAGTACGATTTTATCGAAGCCAAACAGGAGACAAGGAAATTTTGTTTTACGTAATATGTAAAATCTATGTATTACAATTGCCGTCTGTGCTTTAAGAAATACGGTTTTGAAAATAATACCGCCTTTAAATGACCGCCGTATCAGAAACGCACAAATCTTTTAGAGGCCGCGGCTTTTCATCGTGTTAAAATGGATACGCACTTTATGTTCGTTCCTACCTCATCTGGAAATTTAGATCCGGGCTTGGACTTGAGATTCACGGTGTATTCTACGAAAAGAGAGAGAAAGAGAAATTGATTACAGCCTACATTCTTGCCTCTGAAATGTGGTAAATACCAGAGACACTGTAAAGATACGGCACTCGGTTGCTTTCAGTTGAATCGTCATTCCAGCTACTGCCCACAAGAAGTAAAGCTTAACGAGTTGTTTTTCAAGCAGGTTGCAGTTTAATTATTCACACTTGCATATTACCTGCAGGCATCATGATTTCTGCTGTAGACTTCTTCCGCTGAAGGACTGTCACTGGAACCCAAATTTCATTGCCTCGGGAACCATCTGCAAGAAGTTTGACTACTTTGTACATTCCAGGATGTGACACCCGATCCAAAACCACCACAGTCTCTTCTTTGCGGATGCAAATGTTGTTAGGGTCATCTCTGTAGTCTTCTAATGCTATACAGAACTCAACTTCTTTGGGAGTAGGAGCGAAGGGGATCTCAAACCTAAGATTTAGAAGTACATTCTTTAAATTCATTCTACTCCATTCGACCCAGTGCTCACGCTGATAGTCCAAAGAGAGACCCCAAAGTAGGTGTTTCAGAGATCCGCACTGATAAGCGGGCTCTGAAGCAGATGCTTCAATTATTGTCTAATATTGACCAAAATAACAAATACTTACCGAGTCTTTTGATTAATTTCAGCACAAAGACGATCAACTACTTCTTTACCAGCCTAAACAGATAAAATTTGTAAAGGGTTCAATGGGTGAACGACCACAAGGACTAAACTAAATATACATGTACAGCTTTAGAAGGAGCGGTAAAAGGAATGAATATTCAAAATACAACAAAAACAGAATGTGTGTCATACCTCAATGTCAGCTGTATCCACATGAGCCTTTTCCCCACACTCCAACATATCATCAAGAAAGGTTTTATATTCCAGAACACGTTCAACTGGCCGATCTAAGAGTTCCTTTATGGGACGAGAAGGCGCTTCATTTTCACATTTCTGTAAAATTTAAAATAAAATTTGAAAACACTGACAAGACTTGCCCAGCATACTTTGAATGGTGAGAATTGAAAGTGGAGTAGAACAATTCTATGTCCACTATACATTGTGTAAGATTTACACGTATGTAGGTTACCTCGAAAAAATCTTTTGGCTGTGATTCCAAAAACCTGTCTGAGTCACTCTTTCCAACACAAAAGGTTATATATCTGTCAAGTTCATGTTCCTAAGTAGAAAGGAAATTAAAGATCCTCATCCATACTAAGTTAGCAGACTCTTCTTTTCACAACTTTATCAGAAGATAACTATCAAAAAATACGAAAAGATGGTAAAACCTACTCTTACCCTCTTCTTGAACACTTTGCCAACCTCTGACGGATTTCCTTTGCACTTTGCCAACTCGTCACAAAAGATCCTAAAAATGAAATAAAATTGAATGTTGCATATACAGTCTCTTCTACATACACTGTGTTTGTTGCAATGTCGCCAACAACATCAGTCAAATATACCCGTTTACAAATCAAGAGCATCTGCTTGGTAAATAAAAGATGACCACGAAAAACCAAATATAGGTTTTCATATTCCTCGTCACACGAGCAGCTATCTACCCTAAACACTTTTCTATTGTTTTAACAAACTAAAACGTACACGTTGGCATAGCAACTTCTGTAAATGACCAGAGCCTTATAGTAGAAACGACCAGTTAATCAAAAACATTTAACAACATACACTTTGTGGAAGAAGAAGATATCTTCTGAGTTGATAAAAATGGTGTCCTTATTCTCAGCCAATTCAGATGGTGCGTTGGGAAGTTGATAGATGTAGTCCTGAAAAATAAATAACCGTACATTACTCTCACAACTGAAAAATATAGAGTCGTGTAATCTCAACTATTTCTTCCTTTTGAAATTGATTTCAAAACGAAAAGCAATACCTCTGCAAGCGACCTCAAGTCATCCACATATTTGCCCTCACTTTCAATTAACTTATCAGTGATGGCATTCATCCTATGCAGCTTGGCCTCTTTATCTGAGTCAGGGCCTTCCCCATTCACAAAGGGGTACGGAAGAGTTAACTCTACAGCATCAAAGTTGAAGTCACTGGGTGTGGTCATGAGATGCACTTCAGACTCAAACCTTGGTTGATCTTCGTCAGCTGAGTGGCCATTTGCTAGCTTGCTTGAATCAACGTAAGGAGCTGACCCTCTTCTTGGGGTGTCTGGTGGTGTGAAGATCAGAACTGAACCAGCATGCTGAGGTATGAGAAGCTCAGCATGTTTAGTATGCTGCAATCTGCGGGAAAAAGAAACAATTATTGCAACGTAACGATGTAGCCATGATTGATAAGCAGAACAAGAGTTTACTGTGTACACGTCACAAACTTTCTATCGTTGTGGACTTACGGTTTGTGGGTACTTGCTACGGAATCTTCAATTTTCCTACAGATGTTCTCGTTAGCTCTTTTCATCTCTCCTTCCACCCTGTTTATTTCCTCTGGGCTGGTCTTTTCCACGGTGTCTGGTGTACTTTCCACAGTTTTCTTGGACCGCACTTCAACGCTCAGATTCTCAGAGCTTGGCAAACAACCAAATACATAGAGATTTGACATCATTTCTGGTTTTTCTGGAACCAGCACCTCTACTTCAGTTCTTGTCTCTTGTTTTATACTTGTAGTAGTCTCCCTTGTTGTTGTTTTCCATACACGTTTTCTCGTAAGCTGAGCTTGGTCTGCTGAAGATGGTGGAAATGTTTGTGTGTGGAGGGCTGTTTCAACTTCAATGTCTGTGTTGACATAAGGCCCTAAGGAGGTCACTGTAACATCTTTCTTTACCACTTCTACACCCCAAGGAGCTAGATCCATCTGATTAGGTTCTCGCTTCGTATCTTCACTGATGTGAACCAGAATCTCATGTTCTGGGATTTCCACTGGCTTCAGAGCTTTTCCACCTTCAAACCAACCCTGGATCTCTGACTTGATGATAGGCTCTATCTTTTGCTCAGTTTCTGTACTAACTGGTGTGTCTGACCTCACTCGCACTGAGACCTGCGGACGCTTGGCTGGTCCGGCCTCTTCAAATACTACCTGGTCACCAGGTCTTTTGCTGCCCAAGACTCCATCAACAAATGATGACAACACATTTACACGCACTGGTTTTTCATAGCCTGATGAGTCAGGAGTGGTCTCCAGCAATTCTTTCTCGTAAGCCTCTACACTTTCTCCTGTTATTTCTTCTGCCTGAAAGTAAAAGTAGAAATCACACATTCATATGACCTTGATTTCATGACTGGCTGAAAAAAATCGAGCAATCATCAGGTAAAAACTTTCCAGAAAAATATTACACGTGTCAACAAACACAATGTGAATCACAATCTCAATGCAGAGTAAAGATTTCACTGGTTGATTTCATAGTTGTAATCCATGCACCTAACATGATAAATGAAATTGAACAATCCTTTGAAAAATGAATCGCTATATCTAAATTTTAGTATTGAGAACTTTTTTTAAAAAGTTGTGTGATACTAAACAAAGGAGTGCACAGCTGGTCTTTGTACCTTGGGAGGAAGTCCTCGCTGCTTTCTCTCTCTGAGTCTCTCTGCTAAACGGAAAAGGTCATTATCCATGAAATCAAACTTAGTGGTTATCTGCTTCTGTTTGGTCATAAGATCCTTTGCTTGGTAGCGAGGTTCATCCATAGTAAGCTTAGCTGAAAGTTCAGCCAACTTCTTCAGTCGTGCCTCTTGCTTATTAAGCCCAGGCTTCACAAACCCTTCCAACATGTCTAGAAGGTCTATGACTTCCTCCTCTGTCTTGCACCTTTTTGCTTCATCCTGGGTGGTTTTCAAGAAGTGCTCACTATCACTGATCCATACTGATGCCTAATAAACAACAACAAAAAAAAACATACTTTAAATGGCCACAATGAAACAAAGACAAGTTCTGAGATAGCGGCCAAGTTCACCAAACTTATCTGCATAATCAGACTGGGAGACCCCAACACTGTCATAAGTGGCGGATCCAGGGGGAGGGTCCAGGGGGGTCTGGGGGGTTCTGGACCCCCCTAACAGACCTGGCGCTTACAACTTTGAAATTGAAATTCTTACATCGAAAGGATCGTATATCACTTTTTAACTGGCTGATCTTTTTAATGAATCGAGTAAACGGTAAGCGACCAAGGAACTATAACGTGCAACCGCGACTGGTGGGAGGGGGTGTGGGGGAGAAGTAATTTGCCTCAAAAGAGTCCTACAGTCCTTTCTGAACCAAAGTAAAAATTACTGGATCCGCCCCTGGTCACGTACTTCTATTGGAACATTCATTACCTGAAGAGGGAATTCCACGTTAAGTACAACCTAGCGCAGAATCTAACGTGGAATTCACACGCTGTGTAATGGACTTTCCTTAATTGCTTAATTGAATAAAAATAATGAAAAAAAAAAAAAGGAAACTGAGCATGAAACAAGAGATGCAAAACAATATCACTTCGCCTTGTTTTCAAATCGCAATTCCATGCTGAATACCTTGCTTCGTTAGATCCTATTACGAATAAACACCTTAATATATATAATTATCTTATTAACCAAGAGCGAGGGCCGTGCTGGGAGAATATCGGCCCGAGATCTTGACAGTACGGACCGAGCACAGCGAGGTCTGTACAAAAAAGACCGAGGGTCGATATTCTTCCAGTACGGTCCCGAGCAAGCTTGGTTAATAAGAGRTTTATTATACGACTGAAGTTCAAAGGGACAAAGTGCGGTATCATTCGGGACCATTCGGGACAGTGCCCGGTCCAATACTGAGAGAATATTGACCGGCAATAGAGCATTTTGATTGGTTGATTTTAGTTATTGGCCCTCTGACTTCCCGAGTCGTGTAATAAATCTTACTACTAACAAACCTGTTCATAAATCTGATGGAACTCTATTGATGCTTCAAGCATGGCCCTGTGGTCTTCCATCCTGGACAAAAATCTCTGCCAGCGGGCTTCCATTGCAGAAACTTGTCGCATAATGGCAGGTGCATCGTGATGATTTAATTGCTTCAACTTCCCTGCTTCTTCAACCAGTCTTACTACTTCCACATCAGCTGGCTGTCAAAATATTTTAATCGCCCTTATGTACCACAAATAGAGTCAACCAAACAATGCATTCAATAAAAACATCAGACAAGATGGGGAAGATGAACAATCAGCTCTCAAACAGTTTTAAAACCAGGATATTGAGAAACCCTCTTGAAATTAATCTTAATCTCCTATAAATAGCAACTTGGGAGACAAGCAAGTTATTATCATTCTCATTCTCGTCATTATCATTAAAATTACAGTTACCTTAACAGACTCCAGAAATGAATCTGACTCTTGAAGCAAAGTAACAGCATCAAGTAGAGTGACTCCAAACTTTCTGTTTAGAGCAAGCAGTTCTCTGGTGTGCTCCTCTATGGTCAAGTTGACCTAATAAAAATAATTATTAATGGAAACCTGTGTAAAAACTTTCTTTCAACAGAATCACAATGACTGAAACCAGTCCAAAAATTGTACACCAAACCTTTTTAAGCCTCATGTTTTACACTGAATATTCGTTTTAAAATATACGATACGATTATTACACTACAGTACAGATAAAAGGCTCTATAATAAGTCCCATGGAATCAAAACCAAAACATTTCAAAACATTTAAGCCCTATACACAAAGGAATTTGACAGAAAAAAATGGAATGATGGAAATATCTCCCCCCCCCCAAAAAAAAACAAACTAATTCTGTTGTCTCCTTAACTTTGAAAAAATTGAAATTATTTCCAAAGGTGATTAAGACATTTCAGCCTAAACATCCTTCTAGCAGTGTTTACAAACTTACTGCACTGATAGCCTGCTCAAATTCACACAATCGCACACTTTCTAACAATTTGTCCCTATGGTGTTCCCAAAGAGACCTCCACTCCTCATGTCTTCCTTCTGATCTCTCAAGGAAGCCCTTGATTTCATCACGAGATACAGAGACAGCTGCTGAAGTGGAAGCACGGCTTAAGACATCCTGTGCACTAACAGTGGTGAAGCTGTACAGGTCTTGAACTGTCTGGTAGTTGGCGAGATGGTCCTGTAGAAGGAGCTGGGAGTTGTTGATGTCTCTGGGGAGGGGTTGGCTTTGAAGGCCATATGTCATATCATCCATCATTTGGAGAAGCTGAAATGAAATTCAGTCAAGAAAAAAGTTAATTTTCTGATATTGCAATTCTCTGGGAATCATAGTGTACAAACCATCCCCAAGATGAAGTTGAAGTTAATTTATTTGTTTAAGCAGGTTGATTAATTTGGCAGCTGTAATAGCTGATGTGGACCTGCTGTCCTAACCCACTCATCCCACCCCAGGGGAGGACATCCATCACCCAGTAATCTCGTGTGTGGGAAATTAACGTCTCCTGCCCCAACCCTGCAGGAAACAGGACCTCCATTTATTCGTCCCTATCTGAGAAGACTAGAATATCTAACCATTTCTTGATGTTATAGAAAGGTAGCAAATTCTTCTCAATTATTTTAAGACCTTGAGTGTTGGTCCGGCTGAGGCTCGAACCCTCAACCTCCCGCACTACAGTCCAGCGCTCTATCCATTGAGCTAACTGGGATGCCACACAATAAGTTTCACCAAAACAATTAATGTGGCAATTTGAACTTTGCCTGGGTGCGCAGGGAGTTGGAACTAGAACTGTCATTTCTTCCCAGTAGAATACATTGTAGAGGTGTTAAAAGGTAAGTACACCTAGTTCACTTTTGTGAACAGATGGCCTAGAAGAAAAGGTCTAAAAGAAAGACACAGATGTTCAAATCTGGCACTTGGGATGGAGGGCATACAATTTTGGCCTAAGGGTGAGGAAGAAGGTGGAAATTTGAACAAAATAATTTTCAAATGCCAAGGAGTTTGCCAGAGAGGGGGATCATTTTAGCTATCAACTGATCGATGCATAACCATGACATGTTCCAGTCTGTTTTCAATGACTGCATTAAGAAACAGAAGAAAGGCAGTATCTTAGTAAAAGTAAAAATATTTTTACTTTAAAGCATAGAAAAGAAACAATGCCTCAACAAAAGCTGTAGGTAAAAATTAATGGTTACATTTTCATACTACTCTGAGTTTTATTTGAAAATCTTTTTTCCTTGAGTAACTATGAAGTAATTATTTTCTCCTAACATTATCATGATTATATATCAAGCAAACATGCTGAGAATAAAGAAAAGACAACTTAGAGGATGTCATATGATTCAATGGAAATTCTCAGAAAAAAATTGAAAAACAATGTATAAAAGAATTAAAAAGAATAACTATGGCAAGATGAAAGGGGCTGATTGCACAACTTACTTTTTCAACGCTTGAGTAAAATGTTGCTGACATTGACAGCAAAACCTCATAATCTGCTAGCAGTGTCTTAAACCTTTGATAAGCAATCTGAAGTTCATCTGTAATGACTCTGATGGCTGCTTTGTAGCTACCCTCTGCCTCTGACAGCTCCTCTGCTGCACGTAGATGTGCTTGAACATCTTCATCAGTGCGCTGAGGAAGAGACCAAGAAAAACTTAGAACTACATGTGTAAGAAAAACAACTTACACCAGAAGTCTTTACTTTGTACTATGTATATTTTACATGGACATTGACACACCAACTTACACTGCATTTCTCTAACCAGTTTTACCACCGAGGCTACATAATGAGGAAAGGTGAACTGTGAGTTTTGGAAAAAACTGGTGTCCACATTGGAAAGAACTAGAGGCTCTATAATGATGATAGAAGGTAGTATTGCAGAATATTTGTCTCACATCAAAAACAGAAAACCTGCCACGTTCCACATATTTAGAAGTACCCTGTTCCACAAGCAAAGGATGATTCAAGAATATAAATTAATGTAGTGACCATTTGACATTCAACCAATAATTAAATGGTAACAAATAATCATATTAACAATAACAATAATGACACCAATACGTATGATGCACGATCTTCGCAGTAGAGAGCCCTATTTATGCAATAGCGAAATCAAACCTGAAAAAAATCAGGCCTGTACGGGATTCGAACTACTGACCTCTGCGATACTAGTGCAACGCTCTACCAATTGAGCTAACAAGCCAACTGGGAGCAGGCCATTAAGTTGATTCGTAATAAACCCGTGATGATAAATCAGATATGATGAATATATGAAGTTCATATATTTTGAACTGCAGTTACAGATACGTATGATACAGGCCTGATTTTTTTTAGAGCGCTGCACTAGTATCGCAGAGGTCAGTGGTTCGAATCTCATACAGGCCTGATTTTTTTCAGGTCTGATTTTTGCTATTGCATAAATAGCGCTCTCTACTGCAAGGATCATGCATCATACGTATCTATAACCGCAGTTCAAAATATATGAACTTCATATATTCATTGTAAATGACAACAATAGTAATAATTTATAATAATAATTTGAAGGGGCTAGCTTAGGAACCTCACTATTCCTCTATTGGTCTACGCTCTAGGCTCCAATAATGATTAATCAATACTAATTTTAGTTTTGCCTGTTAATTTTAAATTATTTTTTTATTTTATAGCAATTCCATTTGATGACATTATGGCTTTGCCTCCATAGAGGCAGTAGTCATAAAAAGGCAGTTTTTACTACTGGGCAGAATAGTATTTCTTTCCAGTTGCTCATTGAGCAAAGCCTCCCATCTTCTTACACTACCATTTCAATCTTATGTAGAACCTGCATTTTACTTGTTTTTCTTGTCCTCTCTTTCTTACCCTTGCAGCATCTTTGAACTTTTGCAACTTGTCTTCTAACTCTCTTGGGTCAATGGGAAGGGAACTGTAGTCTACTTTGACAGGGAAAAATGTATCACTCTGTTCTTTAATCCATAGTATGACCTAAAACGATGAGAACAGAACCCCGGTTAGGAAAAAAAGGAATTAGAAAATGATAGCTTACATGGTTAATTAATTCCAATGCCCCTACTGCTTAGACTGTTACAACAGTCAATATTCCACATAGAAAAATGTAGATTTGTTGGATTACAACTTCAAGTCAATTTAACTGTCTTTCCAAATCTGGAGATACTGCTGAGTTAAGAAACTTGAAGGCTCACTTTAGTCCTCTGGAAAATCAGTTTGGCCCTACTGAGAGCAAATCAAATAAGCTCAGTTTCACTTGATTTGAAGGTGATAACTTTTGGAACAGTCCATGTTACTACTTAATAACTACTACATTTGCAGTTTACACCTAGATCATTGTGAGGTTATAGAGAGCCTCCCTTGGCAGGTACAGTGTGTTCAAATAAAGTATTAAAACAAAAGACTACTTACCTCCCTGGTGTCTTTTTCAAACTGCACAAACTCAGCACTCAGCTGTCTGTTCTTGTTTTGTTGTTCTTCTCTTAGGTTCCAAAGCTGGCCAAGCTTGTGAACCCTTGCCTCTAGAGTTGCCAGGAACTTCTGTATGCAATCAGCAGCTGCCCCTCTGTCCAAACACTCCTCTCTGGGTTCCTACAGAAAAATAAAATAATGGATGCTTTCCTCTTTAAACTACAAGAACTTGTTGGGGGTCTGCAAAATCTGTGAGCAATGCAAGTCATGTGAGCCATGTGAGTCATACGAGCCATTTTTGCGAGTATTTCTTTTTCTTCGATTAGTCCAGGGTCTGGGAGATCGTAGATCATTTCACTCCCCACTATCACTAAACTATCACTGTAAACCGCCCACCCGCCCGCCATCTTGAAAGCGGAGATGATCCTGGGGACGAGTACAAACAGTACAACCTCGCTGCCAGGGTACTCTCTCTTTCCCTGGGAAATTAATTTTAAATTTAGCTACAAAAGTGCTTAAAATTGAAATATTCCCAGAAAAAAATCCTAATCTTGCTTCAGTTGCTAGAACAATCGCTGGTGCCTCAAATATGAAAAATGCTCTAAACATCTGTACATCCTGCCAAGTCTTGCTCTTAGTAATGGTTGTCCTGAGTTGGAGGAATTTTTTTCTTTGTTTCATATTTTGTCATTTAGAGAAAATTTTATCAATTCAAATTGCTCATGATCAGCTAAAAATAAAAACAATGCGACAAAAATTAATTAAGGTTCAACTTAAGTAAAAAAATTTTCTGAGAAAAAGGCATGGCTCCACTGCCCTACCACTACTTGAATGGGTAGTTGAATGGTATTCATTGACTCTTGTCATTCATTTATATCCATGTGGAAAATCATTCAGGAGAAAAGAGAACAATACTTCCAGGGCAACTCCGTGTATTGGCATCAAGAATGGTGAGGAAATCACATAATTTTAACAGCTTCGCTCTTAAGTGAATCAGAGTTATCAAAACTCTGTTGGTTGACTGACTGCTCTAGGTGGTTGTCTCTTCACTCAGACAAGTCTTTCTCCAAAACTCACCACCAGAATAGCAGAAGCTGGTTTGAAGATAGCTTTCGACCCACCAGCTGATGGCAAATGCTTCTACTACAATGCTTCTTCTCAAATCAGATTTAGTCCGTCAACATTGAATGCTGTCATCTTTCACTACTTGAAAAATCATCACTTCGATGTAAGTAATTGATTTTTTATGGACATTTTTGGTTGATTTCATTCAGGATACGCGCAGAGATGCAAAAAGATTGCTTAGGATTTCATCAGTTTGAAACAATTGCCTTGTTGCCATGTTTTTCTATGAATTTGTTCTTTGAAGAATAAATGTAACAAATAAATGTAAATGTAACAAATAAAATTCTTAACATTTTGATTGTGGCTTGCATGGTTCACATGGCTCATCCTTGGCTCGCATGGCTCGCTGGCTCGCACGTTTATAACACTCACTTGTTGGGGGCTACTTACTTTTTGCAACTCATCAAGAAGTGCTTGTGACTCTCTCTGCATTTGTCCAGAGGCTGAAAGAATGGCATCCTGCAGTTGTTCTTGCTGTACAAGTAATGCAGGTGATGCATCAACATTCTCTTTAGGCTCATCACTTGTCAGCTGATTGAAGAGCTCATCCAATTTCCCAAACAGCTATCAAGAAAGCAAATCATTGATCAGGCAACTAAAACTTGCATTGAACCTTATTATCTGCACTAAAAGCATTTGGCACCTACCAGTTGTCTATGGCGATGGAAATCAAAGTACATTTTCCCCAGCTTAAGCCTGTATTCAAGTCGAGAAGAAAACCTCATCCACAAATCTTGTATATCTTTCACTTTTACAATATCTTTTTTTGATTGCACATTCGACACATCAATCGCTTTGGCCATTTGATCTGCAAAAGCCTGCAAACAAACAAAAATTTGGTGAATACTGTAAAAGTTTAGTCCTGTACTAATTGCGTTCTTAATTGTTGTAACAAATTTGTGTCTTTCTTGACCCACTTTTATGGAAAAACAAACACCATCTTTTTCTATTATTTTTTTTTTACTCATTCTTCTGAAAGCACTGTTTGGTGCAACCCCTATTGGTAATATTATCACACTAGAAAAGGCATTCATGAATATTTGGTCAAGTTACAGGTAAAACAATAAAACTAGACTAAAAATACTCTTTTATGAAGCAGTTCTAAAGATGCTGACTGTCTAAAGAATCAGTAAATGGTTGCTAAATTACACTTAGTGCATTTACTGGCTGGAATGAATGTGTTAACAGCTGTACATGCAACTCCAAACAAGGGCCTGATCAAAATCTGGTGCATAACTTTGCCTAACACAGATGTGCAATTACCAAATATTGATACAAGTAGAATTAATAAGCAGGTAATTTGCCAGCTACAGTTTCTAACCTGTCTCTCAGAATCCAGTTCTTGATGTGAATACAGAAATTCCTGTGATGTTTTGACAGAATCACCCATTACTGTGTTGCTATCAAGAAAGTCTTCACCAACATTCCTAATCCAACCACAGAGCTAAGTAGAAAAAAAAAAAACTTAAACAGCAAGTACTGGTATACTAATCAGTGACACTTAGAAGATAGTTTAAGAAAAATAAGATGACCATCTCAACCAACCAAATACAAAACTAATAATCAGTCACTACTTAATCACTTGCATTTCCCTTCACTTGTGCTCATTAATGTGTTAATAGCCAGTCCCCTCCTTGGTTCCTTGCAGAATTACCTTTTTCTGATACAAAAGACTACCTGACCGTCTGCTTAATGCTGGTTTCACAAAACTCAGGATAAAGATGAGAATCTTACATCTTCAAATTCCTTGTCAGCAAGATCAGGTTCAACATTAACAAGCATAGCTGTACTTCTCTCCTGCAATTCTTCATACATTCTCACAATCACAGGTTGGTGTTTCCCATCTGCCATTTTCTCTTGCAATATCTTTCCGTCTCGCAGTTGAGCTGCAGATGCTGCATTGATTGCTCCATACAGCTCCTTTTGATCTTCAATGGTCAGCTTTTCTTCTGTAATTTTGTCTCTTATTTCATCAAGCTTATCATGTGCCTTAAAAGAAAAAAAATAAAATAAAATAACCAGGAAAGTTTGGAAATTTCAGTATGAAACTAATGGTTAGGAAATGCCAACAACTTCAGACAAATCAAACATCACTAATACTGTGACTTACTCTGCTGTTTTTCTTGTAAAAGGTTAGTGTATCTGTCAGTAGTTTCCTTCTATCTTCCAAACGTTCTTTGAATAACTGCAGGTTTGTTAGTAGCAGGGTAATTTTTTGCTGTGTTTCCTGTATGTCACTGAAGTTTCCATGCATAAGCTTTTCTGTTTCTCGTGCAAGCCTCTGGCCAGCCTCTTCCTTTTCCTGATAGTAAAAAGGAACTATTGCTTACAATTTTTAACCAAATTTTATTATTTATCAAATCCTATAAATTTCTTATCAGACGCTCAACAGCTCATCTTGTAAATGCAATGACACTCTCCAATAGTCACTTCTTTAAAATTATTATTCACTAACCTTTCACTTAAACAAGCAATAACTCTGAGAACTGATTACACAGTATAAATAAGAATCATATACATAGAGAGGCTAGCAACTGGCACTCAATTCTTGCACCCACGAGTTATGAAAAGCCAAGGATATGTTGGCCAGTGAATCAACAACAATTCATAAACATACCTTTGCCACTTCCTCAAATTTGAAGTGTTCATCGAGGAGAACTTGAGTTGAGGGTGCCGAGTCTCCATAGTCTTGATAGCTAAGATAATCCTCTCCTTCCTCATTTAGCCATTTTGTGATCTGTTGGATTGTTGTTACAAAAGTTACTCTTAAGGATCACAAATATCACCTTCTTTGGCTAACCCTAAGAATACTGTGTTGTAGTTATACAAGCCTGTGGTCTAATGGCACCCGGTTGCCAGAGACCACTAACTTTTGGCTTCCAAGACAACTGATTAAAAAAATGCCAGTCGCCCAGCCGGTCATTCTTGTCCCTCCGTTCAGTTCCATAGTATACAAGAATGCAAAAATATGTGACATGCTGTTTTCCATTTATTGTGTAAATAATGCCTCGTGGAAATTTCCTTTGATGCCAGATAAGCTCACCTGTTTACTCTCATACGTTCAGATCTTAAGTTTTGTTCCACATGATTTGACAAATATCTAACACTACGATCTCAGACAAAAGACATGAACCTGCTGAATATCAGTACCATTTCTCAAAATATTATCTAAATTTTCCCTTAGGCTGTTTTATCATTGTTTACTTTATTGTTACAAATACTTTCCAAACCGCAAAGTGTGAATTGCCATGTTAAAAGTCTTTGTTTATGCAAATGTATACGTTTTCTGGTCAGCATAATTTGATAACTTGTTTGCACAGGGTTACCTAGCTTTTGAAGGTTAGTTTTATTTCTTTGGAATAAATATCTTGACGATGAAATGATCAATGCTAGATAGCTGCAAGAATGAATTCACTTAATTGGTAGGAATACAGTAGCACAGTTGTATTGATCTAGTATAAATTTCTCTATTACTTCTTGACACTTTCCATCCATTTGCTACTGTAATAGCTAATTTTAGCTTTTGCAGCAAATACATGTATTACAGTAACTGTATCCACGTAAATGCAAAAAAAATTAATAAAAAGCAAGGTTTCACAAACATGATTCCCTCCAAAATAATTGAAAAGAAACCAGATTTACAAATAAAGGAACAACATGGATCCAAACATGGGACAGGTATATTCTGTAAACAAACGATTGCAAAGCATTTGTATTTGTAGTTGATGGCAACAACAAAAAGTGCAGACATTCATCGAGAATAAAATAACAGGGTTAATTATTGATTAATCAAAACATTTGTGGAATTAATTAAATAATTAATTAATTATCAATTATTTAATTGATTAATCAATTTAATTTTGGGGGAGGACACTAACTTCAAGGGCTGGGCACCTTATTTAGCTGGCATGGCTGGGGGTCCAAAGGGCACCCTAGAATTTTCCTTACACCACAGCCATAATATAATTATGTTATCTTAAAAAATATGAGTACACCATTATAAGAGGATATAATACCCAAAAACATATCACAAATGACTCAGCCAGAGAATGATCCAGAAACTCAAGATCAAGAATCCAGTTCACATATCATTTAGCTTCAACATCTATTGCTAAACAAAGATTAGGAACAATTCAATATCCTAGAAATTTTTTAGATAAGTAACTTTTAATGGTCCAAAGCCTCCTGATACCTGTCTTATTTCTTCATCAATCTTGCATCTTTTCATACACTGCTCCAAAACTTTTTTTCGCTCTTTCCACTGTTCATCAAGTTGCTTTCGCCTGTGTTGCAGGGCTTCCAGAATACGTTCCACACTGTAACATGCTGCTTTTGTGGCATGATGGTTGTTTATGTCAGCATGTGAACTAGCCTCTCGTAATTTGTCCAAGAGAGCTTGTCCTTTAGATAAAGTCTGCATGGATAATTCCAATACACTTTTTCTTAGTTCCTGATGTTGATGAAGCAATGATGATGATGATGTCACATCTTCCACTAAAAGAGTTCGGCTGATTTCATCTTCTGAGGTATTGATTTTATCAGAAAACTGTACAAAGTCAATTCAAAACAAAATATACATTATTAATTGCAAATTCACCACTCAGGTCATGGTAAAATAATTATTATCTAAAAAGCTAAGCTGTAAAAAACTTTCACATTCTGGTATACTTAAGGAATACAAAATTTAGGTCATTACTTTAATTGATTCTACCTGATTTGAACAAATTATAAGGAAACAAAATTAATCCATCAAATTGAAGATTAGGAGTTTTATTGTTAATTAATAAATTTGTAGTTTCATTGACAGTTTTGGAAAATTCTCAAGATTATGTCAGGGTTTGCCTTTATTTAAGCCGAGCAGTGCTTTGTGGCCTGTTGTTATGGAAGACATCCCACCCTAAGTATAAGCATTAAATGAAAAATCCATGATGCTACCTTACGCTTTTATACTTAAGAGATCTGTCATTATGAAAAAGAAGAAATGAAAAGCACTGCCAAAAATCAAACTGTAACTGCAGGAAAGAACCTGCCAAATATTAAGTTATAACTAAAAAGTAAGAAACTGTTAGTGTAGATAGTGACCAGCAATATTTTCCAAACAGGATAAAACCATTCATCTTACAATAAAAAAGGGGATCTTCTGTTCATTAATTTCTTTCTTAAAGAATTGTTTTAATTAGAATCATTTATATCTCAATCAACATGACCTAAGGATATTTTTAGCCAAGCATGAAAAAATTAGCATTCCTCAATTTTGAACATTGTCAATGAAGAAAAGTGATTAAAGCAATCCATCAAAATGTTGACTGGTTATATATACCACTTAAATCATAACTATTAGCAACTCTTAACTCCATAAAAGTGAGCTTTGGTTACATTACATCTTTAAAAACATAAAAGGCAAGTTGACATCATGCTTGACTGACCACGATCAACAAAACCTTTAAGAGTGAAATTACAGGAGATCATGTAAAACCAAGAATATCGACCTATGGCTATCACTAATGAAATATGGATAACATTTTTTCATTAACAAAGCATCCAAATTACTATCTGAGATAAAAGATGTCCACACAGATTGTTTGGTGTATCTATCTGTTGTGATTAAAATTCCAATCACCAATTTACCAATTAAATTCTCAAAACCCAAAATAAAAATTCCTAAATTAACAACTTCACAAATCAGACATCATAAATCCTTGGATAAATTCCATGGATTATACCTTAGCTACAGATATGAAGGCTTTAAAGGATCAACTTTTAAGATCTACAAAACAGACTGCACAAAGAAAGGTATATTTAGCATTCAACAGATCATATACTCACAGTCTGTAGCGGGGTCACAAGAAAAGCGACAAGAATTTTACGGTAAAATGGACAGATGGAACAACTAGATCAAAAGCTTGGCCATGCAAGTGTAGAGGAGCCAATAAAAATCATTATCCCATAAAAGGTATCATTTTCATAAATCTTAACATTAAATACCAGTTACCATGCATTCTACAGATTTTTTAGGGCAAGATTTTTTCTTACATACAGGGCCACACTTTTAAATTTTTTTAACAAGTAGACATTCATTTTATTCAAAAACTACAAAATGAACCATAATATACATGTATACTGGTACTGAAAGCTACAACAGCCTATAGAAATTAGTAATTCTCTCAAGCAATCAAAATTCTGGTAATAATTAAGAAACTCAAATCATTACATTTCATAAAAATAATTTGAAAAAGAATAGGATTGTAAATTGTGACAAATTGTAAATAATAATAAAAAATAGAAAAATAAACAGCTTTGTTCTAAAAAAAAAAATTATAATACTAGTAATTGCAAGTAACTACTTGTAATCACCACAATGTATTTTGCACAAAACCAACCATAATTTCATTAAAAATTAAAACAAGTAATAATTATGGTCTTCTAAGTGAAATAACTGATATCTTAATCAACCACATGTTATTCTAAAAGCAACAGCAAAGTTTAACTAATCAAAAACCTTGACAGTTGTAAACCCTCTTTCAGAGCATTACACCTCACTTTAATAAGAGTTACATACAATTTAGAACTGCATATCAGGGGTAGCCAGCATGTCACTCAAAAAAACAGAATACAAGTCAGGGGCGAAACTGTAATGATGGGCCTCCTCATTATCTGGGTTTTCACCTAAATGACATTAAGGTTTTTCTCATTGCTTTCTTAATAGAAAAATAAAATGTGATATGAAGTATGGGTATTTTCAGTTTAGGATCCATTGTGAGTTGTGTATTTCTTTGTAGAGTATAGTATTAGTAAATGGTGATAGCATGGGGTGAAGTGTTTTAAGATCATAATAAGGTTGTAGAGAAAATATTTCTAAAAGAAACATAAAAATTGTAACTATTATGGAAAATAGATATCAACACACCAAGAGTCAGGCATGACTAATATCAATGAAGGTTTCAGTATAACAAATACTTAATCCATGAACCAAACTCAATACAACTGTGTTGGAGGTCATCCACATCTAATTCCATCATACACTGTACCTTCTCTACACTGTGATGAAAAGCAACTGAGGTGTCAAGAAGTATCCTCCTTCCCTCTAATTGAACATTAAGGTCATTCCAGGCCTCTTCTAGAGAATCTGCCATCCTTCCATAGGGTCTGTTACTTTGATCTTCTGCTGAAGCTACATGTATTGACTTGATAATCTGAATGAGCTCAGCAACTTCTCTTTCTTTTTCCTGGAAATGAACATTTAAGGAAAATGTCATAAACAAATCATGATAAGTAAGAGTAAGAACAAAGTGTACAAATAACAACTAATGATAAAATAAGTATCCAATGAAAAGATTGTGGCCAACAAAAAACATCTGAAGGTTATAAAAAGATAATCATTTCAAGTGTTACTTAGACAGTGATATGACCTGACTGCACATGCTTTTTTATAATTGTTTTTGCTTCTAAAAATTCCCAATAAATAGATACAGAGCCCTTTATCTGAGTAGCAAATAATCTGTGTATTTCGGGCAGTATATTGAACCTGTAAAGTACCTTATTAGTGTAAAAGTCCTTCACGTAATCTATTCAAGGCCTCTTCAACTACAAATAACTCATAAATTTAAGCTTATTGCATATTGTAGACAATCAGTGATATTTTATTTGACCTTTTGACCTTGTTTACCGCAACAGAGTTGTTCCTAAAATCGTCTTGAAGAGATTTCAGGAATAAGGCGAGAATGTTTTATTCATAACCAGTATGCCACTTCAAAGGACAAAAAAATATGCGAAACAAAATATACACATGGATTGTGGGCCAAGCAAAAAACAAAGTCTCTTTAGTACATGCAGCTATAAATGGATACCGACGTAAAGACATAAGAAGTTTTGATTAATCTCGTCAAAACAATTTAGAAGAACTAAACAGACGGTCACCTTCGGTATTTTGAAGAAATTGAATTACTCAGGAATGCTCTCGGTGGCTGATCTCTTATCGCTCCGAAAGGCTCGTCTTCGATGTTAAATTGCGATTTGTTAACAAGAAATCGACTCTTAAATTCCATCTCCTTGAGTCCATTAACATATAACAAAGAATTCTTTCGTTTTGCTCGATCAATCTCAAGAGTTAATTAGAGAGGTTTTACATCCCGCAACCATGTTCATAGGAAATTACATTATCGCCATTGCCTCTGGCGTTATAATTAACACGAAATGTCCATTTCATCGACTATCAATATGTCGATCTACAGCCAGAGATATAATTCACTGGGTTTAAAATGAAATCTGCCTTTCGTGTTTAACGTTTGTGACTAAAGTCCTTAAATACTTTCTCTTCTTAAGAATCCATGTATTTTGTAAACACTGACCCGTAATTCCCGCACAGAAATAGCAATGACGAAGCCAAATATCTAAGTAATGTTCATGATTATTAAGAATCTTCCTAGCCAAGGAAGTATACCAAATCAGGTCCCTGTGATATTGTATTCGACTCGAATGTTTCAGTGGTTGTATACAAATTGGCAATTAGTACTTATACACAATAACAATGATTCACTGCTCTTTTGCCAGCATGGATTCGCACTATCTTTCAAAACGCATGATAGTTGTAAAGTCTCTGAGCTGTTTAAAACTCGGAAAGGAAATTATATTATAATCGAACGCCAAACTGAGTGCGATAGAACACCTGATCGAATGAACAGAAACTACAAGGATGTGTTACTATTCACTTTAGGCGAGTCTTGACGAGCAATTGTGACAATAAAATGGCTCAGTTCTTCCTTTGCATCGTCCGGGATGAGAATATGGCTTCAACGAAAATAAACATCGTGAGTGCTTTCATTATCTTACCTCCTCTCAGGATTTATAAACTCAAAATCCAACAATTGCGAATTAAATTGATGCAGCAATATTCAGCCAAAAGCTCAGGTCGCCAGTCAAGGCTGATTATTTATGCAAACTTAAAATGCCGAAACATGCCAACCCACTTAAGTTCAACCACATTCCAATGCGCTCTCCACGCCCCAGTGAACAAATACTTTTCATGCTTGAGGCAAATGTGTACGCTCATTCGACCAGAACTCGCTCGGCCGCAGACACAACGAAAGGTGTCACATTACATGTCTGTTAAATAAAAACATCACTTATTAAACGAGCTGCCAGCAAAGACGATTTACAATCCAAGCCATGTCACCTCGTCGAGTTGCCGTATCTATAGGTAACTGAATGTAAACTGCGTGTTTACAAAGGTCGATTAATATACTTTTCGATTTACACTCATGGGACGACAAAACAGTTGGCGCACTTTGATAACTTGGCGTGACAGAGAGACAATCTATCGCATTAAGAACATCTTTTTTTTTAGTCTTTACTTCAAACCTGTGTTATTAAAGATAATTTTTATTGCAACGGAAACGGTTCTAGTTTGTACTAATTTTATAAAAAGTAACTTACGAATTCTGACAACTTATCATGCCGGGATAAGGGTTTTTCTTGGAAAAACAGGTTAAATTTCTCGGAAATTTGGATGACCTTTTTTGCTCTCACTGTCCGCTAAGAATCGTCACCATTTTAAACTGATTAATATCATGTTCATTGTTCTCATTTCCTTGTAACTTCGAACGTAACTTAGTAAAAAACCTCGAGGCACAAATCCCTTCGTATGCCGGTTTTAAAAGAGAGGAAACTGCCCGGAGTTTTGAGACTCTCAAGGAAGATTACAGTGACGAACCCGAGAAAACGAGAAGTACAGCTGCCGGGAGTAAAGCCATTGCTCTCTAAGAAGAAGTTCAATGCTCCGAAAAATCTTATCGATAATCGTCATATTTTTAAAGCCTCTGTTGAAATGTCACCTTTGTCGGAAGAAATGCCCTGAGCGATCATGTCCTCATTTTACACAGGTGCTGAAAACTAATATTGATTGATGCAAATATGGCTCCTTAGATAAGTTGAAAAACATTCTTCAAACGTGGGGAAGGCGTTAGACGAACAAGAATACTACCCGGGGCCAACTTAAGGTGAAAGTTAACCTTAAATTTGTTCGAAATCTCGCATGTCTTGAGACGCTTCGAGCTAACAGACAGTTCAAAAGCAGTTACAGTCTAAATTACATCTTTCAATCAATTGTTCTCCCTTAGTAAAAAAGCTGGTTCCCCTTAAAACTTTTTAAACAGCATGAGTACATTCTTTCGACCAATCCGCAACACACGAACGCATCACGTGATACAAACCTTGAGTCTTTCTTCCAGTCCCTGTAGGTCAGCACTAAGCGCTTCAGCTTCGGTCAGGTTTTCACCAATCATGTGTTTGTTCTCTTCTGTTTCGCTGGTTCTGTCTTTAACCCACTGAAGAAGCTTTAAAGTAACAACGAAGAGAGACTTAATCATCTCCAAAACTGATAAAGGATAGGCGTCTAGTTTAAGCCCTTAGGCTCTATTTAGATCGCAAACGACTAACCTCACAGTCGTAACAAAGTTGTTAAAACTGCATTACCAAGATTTTAAAGGGTAAAGTAATTAGACCTGTCGATCAAATCTACTGTATGAGGTTATTTTTTTTAAACATATGGTTCACCTCTCGCATCTGTTGTTCATAGTCTCCGAGTTTCAACCAATGGCGGAGTCGCTCGTCCCTGTCTTGCCACACTCTTTCCCAGGCCATTTTTCTCTCCTCCAAGTCGGCCAGAGATTCCTCTAAGAGATGAGGAGGCCGATTTGGTGTCCCGTTCTCTCCATACAGTGGAGGTAATTGCATTCTGTCAATCAAGGTTTTCCCCATGGCAACCGTCTCAGCGTATTCTTTGTCGATAGAGTGTCTTGTTTCAGAGTGTCGGCGAATTTCTTCCTCGATGAACTCAGCTGTGAGGTCTTCCAGGAGGTCCTCTCTCATGTATCTTCCTCTGTGCCCCTCAATATCTTGGACAAGCTATATAATATAAGAATAGTTCTTAGAGTTTGTCAAAGTAGCGGCTAAAGGGTATTCTGTGTATGATTATTTAAAACAAGTTGAACTGTAGGTATGACTTTTGCCTCTAATTGTAAAGTTGACTAACGAGACGTGTAAAGATTCCTTAGAATTCCTGTCAGCCAGTACCTCATGTCGAGAGACACATTACAACGGCTGTGCTGGTCTGGGCATGAACCCTTAAAGCTCCAACGGAAGTCGAATGCATTTGCTATTCAGTTATTAAACCATTACACTTACGCTACTTCCTTAAATGACTTTGGTAGTTTCTGCTATTTTACCTTCTCCGCGCTCCGACGAAACATGAGCGCCACAGAGAGTCTCGCTCCTCGTTCAGCCATAGCCGATGAAAATTCACTCCAAGCGCTGTTTAACTTTTCCTCCATTTGATAGTTTGGGGTCAGTTCATAGCGACACGTGCGACGGAGAACTAATGAGGCCTGGAGAAATTGTCGACCATAATCATATGTACTCTACAAAAAAAATAAATAAATAATCTAATTAAAATTCTCATTCAGATGAAATTACTTTTCAGAATATTTAAGATGTCTCTCCTAAACAACTGTTCCTCGCGAGTTGGAGCGGCATTCGGAGTTTTCTTTTCTGATCACGGCTGTGTCATGGACTGAAAAGTCCACGTTTCTCGACAATTCCAAATAAGTTTTAATAATGTTTAACTTCTAACCTCAAAACCTATTCGAGATGTAAGTTCATATCTCGTTCAAGGACTGACGACAACTACACTGATCTCAAGCGGCATCTTACTTTAGCTGTAGTTTCAAGCTTCTCATGTTCCTGTTGCAGAGCCTCGATATCCTCAGAGTTCCTTCCCACATCTCCCAGGTTATGCTCCGTTGCGTCACGCAGTTGACTTATCCACACAGTTGCCTGATTAATTCAAAGTCAGACATGAGTTGTCGTTTTTACTTATTTCACATTTGAAGATACCCTCCCCCCTCTCTCCCGTCGGAGAACTATTCCGTGATTGCTAAAAAGATATATCATTAGCAAAAAAGGATTTATTCCTTCTCACCTATTTCTAGATCATTTGTGTACTTTTTCTTTACCTGCTCAGCATCTCGTTCGCTCTGTTTGAGCTGCAACAGTTGCTGCAGTTTGATTCTGCGCACATCACACAACTCGTCTGTGCGAAGTTTCCGCTCTCTTAGTTCGTCCAAAGTGAGCCGCACATGCGCAATGCCCTTTTCATAATCCTGAGTGACGTCATCACCCCGCATATTGGACATTGGGCTTGTCATCAATTCTTGAACAGCCAATGCATCTCGCAAGGTGTCCTCAGACGAAACGGAAACGGCTGAGTGTAAAAGGGAAATATTACATCATGCGTTACAATGAAATGCATGGCCTAACGAAGGGACCCTGTTAGGTAAAATACTCATTAGCACACATTTCACTCACCCTCAGCCTTCTCTTCCAGTGTTCTGAGCATGCTCTCTGCGGACTCATAGTCGTACATAAGAACAGAATCCGAACACAGCAGTTCAAATAAGTCATCCAAATTAACTGAGCACTGAAATAAAAAAAGAAAAAAAAGAAAAAAAAGAATATAACTTCAGTTGAAGTTCATAAGAAGCGTACAATTTAACTAAACAGTTTCTTACTCAATTCTCTCACTTGATTCTTTCCCTAAACCCGACCAATCAGAATTAATTAATCTGGGAGGTGGAGACATCAACTGGACAGAAGACAAATAATTCATTGATTGGTTGCCAATTCACAAAGTTTATCATTCAAATCTAGAAATGGTAAACAACAAGCTGTTTTCAAAGACGTCAGGTCACTGACTGGCAAGAATAAAGTTTATTACATCTTATCTGGGAATTGTAGCACTAGACTCCAATGATTGTAGAAAAATATGAGATTTAAACGCTCTCCTCACCTCTCCGGCACTTTTGTGAAATTTAAGTGATGTGAGTATGATATCTCTCCTTCTGTTCATCCGCAAGGCAAAGTTACGACAACCTCTGTCTAGGAATTCCTTGCGACTCTTAATATCTCTGGAGGCATAGTGATTTTCCTGGAGCATTTTCTTGGCAAGTTCACGCACCTGAGCGAAGTGGTTTATCACTTCCTATGATAAAGAACATTTCTCAGAATTGATTATTATTGTCACTTAGTATTGGACTTGAGCTTCCTATTTATAACACGCGCTCTGATTGGCTAAGAGCTAAGATTGGCGACCAGCTGATTACGGATTATGCAAATTAGGAAGAGCAATTTAGACCGCAACCTCTTTTCGAAAAGTCGCGCCGATGAAAACGATGAAGGCCGACTGAAATTCAGAGAGTGTAAGTTCCATTACCTGCAGCTAAAGTCTCAGGAGTGACATGGTAAGAACGTAATTTTTGGTCGATAAATATGGCAAGGTGACAGTTTTTGACTCACCAACCGGTAACCTTGGGCACCAGCAAAAGTTTTTCAATGACAACCCCGAGTTGTTCAGACGGCAAATCCTTCTTTAAAAACTAAATGAACATTTTTTTATTCCAAAGATTACTATTTTTCGTCAGGTAAATATGCTGGACGCCAACACACCAAAACACAGAAGAGGGCACAACTAAAGAACATTCAAAGTTCGCCGAGTTAGTTCTAAAACATCAATCACTGGGTGAAAATCACCCCTGGTACACTAAATTTGGTCATTGCGGAAAAATCTCAAACCTCATCAGCCTTGCCNTTGTCTTTTTCCTCCCACAATATATATATATATATATATACATATATACATAGTTAAAGGTTAAAACTAGATCTACAAGCGCAAACTATTAAAATATGGAATTAGAAATCTTATGCCTTAACTGCATTTGAAACAATGAAACTTTTACGAAATCTGTCAGTCTTAAAAACCGGGTTGAACATGCGTGACTTCCTGAGGTTATAACACTTGTTATTTTGTGGGGGGAGTAAATTCTTAAGCTTACTGTTTTTGTTTTCCAAAATGTTTTTAAAAACTTTATCCGTCAGGGCTTGTCTTCTACCTGACAGAGTTACAAGTCCTCC